GACTGGGGAAGGGATGGGGGGATGCGGGGGAGGGATGCTAGGGGGTGGCTGTTTGCCCAGAGGTCATGTGCTGTCTCTAGCTGAGCACACCCAGATGATCATACAGCATCAGGGTCCATTATGACCCCCAAGTGCCTGAGTCATATTTTGGCATGTTCTGGCCCCTTGGCAAATCTTGGCCAGGACCTGCTAGGCAGGCTCAGGGGACAGGCTGGGCTGGGGACCCTGGCTCAGACCTTCCCTTGATGGGGTCTGTCTGTTTCCAGTCACGGGAGGGCGTTAGGGGTCGGCCCCACTTGGCTGCAGAATGGTGGTCTCAGCACCAGCTTTGGGTCAGGGCCATTCCCTTCCAAGAGCTGCCTGCTGCATCAGCCAGTTGGGCTGGGAGCAGTGCAGGATGGAGCCCAGCTGACAAGTCTGGCTGGGTCTTGGAGCTCTCATGCCCATCATGAAGCCCTCAGGTAGCCTTAGTGCTGTGTGGGAGCAGCTAGGCTTGTGGAATTTCCCTGCCTTACGTGGTGCATTGCAGGCTTGTTCTGACCAGCTACTCCCTGCTAGCCGGGTTCCTAGCTGCTCCCCTCAGGCTTCATGGGAGCCAACCAAGGCTGCTCTCTGCTGGAGCAGCATCACTGTGTTGTCTGGAACGGAAGGCGGGTGCATGCACTGGGCTTCTGGCTCTGCCTCAGTCTTGCTTTGTGTATCAGAGCGAATAACCGTCCTTGGCTGCTTCCCACTGTGAAAGGGGGCTGATGTGCTGCCCCTTCCCCTGCCTGGGGGCACAGGAGATGGTGCTAGCAGATAGCCCCTCTTGTCTAGCTAGGGGGGTTCCCACACCTGGGCTGATTGGGGTACCAACTGGAGGAGTCCCAAGATTCCTCCCCACTTCTTGTAGCAGAGGCTGGGCAGCTTGTGGCAGGCTGTGCTGGGAGCACCATGCACTGTTTCTAGTCCTGTCTCGGTTTGCGCAGCAGAGCACTGAGATGGCTGGCAGGGGGAGGGGCAGGCTGGGCCTGGCACACGAGGCTGGGCTCGTGCCTGTGCGGTTGCAGCCTGCATGTTATGTAACGGCCCATGATGGGTGAGGACAGTTAAATGGATGAGTCTGGCTCTTTGTCTCAGGGGCAGTTCAGAGAAGCCTCTGGCCAGAGGGTGGCTGACAGAGACAGGGTGGAAAGCGGCTGCACCCCCATGCTTGTCGCATGGACACAGCCCTGGACAGATAAGTTGGAACTTGCCGATCTCCCCCGCCCCAACCTCAGGATGCCAGACTGGGGTCTTGGCTGGTTTGGGGAGCTCTGATGGGCTTAATTCTTTTGTTGTGGGGGGGACAGGGTAGCTGAGGAGTCATTGCAGCTGTGGTCCTGTGGTTTCCTGCCTATTGCAGGGGTCACCGGGTTTAGCAAATGACCTTGAAGTTTACTGCAGTGTCTGGTTGGTAACCACCTGCAGTGGTCTGAGATGGAGGGGGCAGGTGCTTCCTCCGCCCCACCCAGCACACTAGTCACTCCTGCAGTAAACTGTGTGCCTGGACAGCCACCCAGGAGAGATTCCAGCACCACTCGGCTGATGAGCAGAGCACCACGGCTGGCAGCGTGTGTTTCTACCCGTGCACAGAACAAAATTTCTTTAGCTTATGGAAAAAGTGAGAGGGACATTGCACGCCTGCGCTGTACATGCTGCCTGCGGGGGAAGGTTGGGACTAGCACAACCACAACCACCATCATGGAGAGCCAGGGGCTGGAGCAGTGAGCTGCCACACCGCCTCCTGGGGGGCAAGCGGGAGTATTACCCTAGTGAAGCTACTGCAGCCAGTCATGGCACATACTGACCAGTAGGGAAGACAAGTGCTCATTAGTGCTGGGGTTAGGGTTAGGGTGGGAGAAGTAACCAGGACTCAGCTTTAGTGGCAGAAGTGAAGACATTCATCTGTCCCTGCTCCCTAATTGTCTCTCTTGCTTCCTCCCAGTTCAGGAGACTCCTGCTGTCCGGAGTGATGACGCACCAGTATCCCGCGCTCTCAGCTGAACAAAAGAAGGAACTGTCTGATATCGCGCTACGAATCGTGGCCCCGGGCAAGGGGATCCTGGCAGCAGATGAGTCCGTAGGTTGGTCTGAGTCCTTCACTGTTGGGGAGAGTGGGGCTCCTGCTCTGTAGCTCTTGATGCAGCCTCCGGCCCCAATGACATTCATGATCCTAGGTATCAGGGTGGCTGGTGCCTAGTAGCTCGGTGGCAAATCTTATGTTCCTCAGGGCTTCCTGGGCTCCTCTTTCCCCCAGGGAAACATGTGCCATGCATCATTCATGCTCCCCTCTGTCCTGCCAGGAAGCATGGCCAAGCGCCTGAACCAGATTGGGGTGGAGAACACGGAGGAGAACCGCCGGCTCTACCGCCAGATCCTGTTCAGTGCTGACAACCGGGTGAAGAAGTGCATTGGAGGTGTCATCTTTTTCCACGAGACGATGTACCAGAAGGGGGATGACGGCACCCCCTTTGTCAGGATGATCAAAGACAAGGGCATCGTGGTGGGCATCAAGGTGTGTGGCTAAGAGCTGCCAAGCGTGGCTCTGCTTGTGGTGCAGGGGCACTGGGACTCCCTGGTGCCAGTGTTGTGGTGCAGTGGTCACCAGCCAGTGGATCAGGCTCTTCTAGTAGATCTTGGAGCCTTTGACAGGTGATGCTGACAGCTTTGGCCAGGAGGCTGCCAAGTGCTGGCACTTCATCTGCCCCTCTAAGCACTGCTGTGTTGCTCCTGCCCTCTGCCTTGGAGCTGCCCAGCTGGAGCCTTCATTCCAAACCTCAGTCCCAGTCCTGAACCCTCTGCCCTCGCCCTAAGTCCCCCTGCACCCTGAACTCCCTCCTGCACAGTAACTCCCTGCCCCAGGGTCAGCTCAGAATCCCGCCCCCTCTTCAAATCCTTTAGCCCAAGATTAGAGTCCGCATCCCTCTGCCCCCAGCCTAATAAAAGTGAGTGAGAATGGAGTGAGAAGGGGCAGGAAGGAGGCGGGGCCAAAGTGTTTGGGTTGGAGGTAGATCCTGGATTGCATTTAAATTCACAAAGTGATCTTGTGCTTAAGAAGGTTGCAGACCCTGCTGTATTGCATCAGGCCTTGTGCATGGAGCTGCACTTGGGGGTGGCGGGAGTGGCTCAGCAGGGAGGCACCCCAGCTGCTCCACCTGACGGCACACCAGGCTCCGCTTTGCTCCTGTTGCTATGGCTGCCTGTTCATTGCCATGGCTCCACTCCACTCAGGCAGGGGCTGCTATTCCAGACACTGAGGCTCCTGACTTATTTCCATGCCCTGAGTTCCTGTGTTTCCAGCCAGTTCCTGGAAAGGGATGCCAGGGCCCTCTCTGTGGTCTCCACCCAGCCTCACCTGTGCCCTGCTGTTCTGTTTACAGGTGGACAAGGGTGTTGTGCCTCTGGCTGGGACAGATGGAGAAACCACAACTCAAGGTATGAGCCGGCTGCTCTGTGCGTGGGTGGACACTGGGGAGCCGAGATCTATAACCCTGAGCAAACCCCTCACGCCTCTCAGCAGTTCTCTGCATTGGTGGGTGAAGTTGGGGCCATTGCTGTGTGCCTGCAGCATGGGGATTCCTGCCCAGGCAGTAGCTGGCTCTGGGGGGCAGGTGGATGTTTGCAGCTGAGCCTGGCTGAGGGTAGCTGTGTGTTGGGGCAGGTCTGGACGGGCTGTCCGAGCGCTGTGCCCAGTACAAGAAGGACGGGGCCGACTTTGCCAAGTGGCGCTGCGTGCTGAAGATCAGTGAAAACACCCCCTCGGCCCTGGCCATCCTTGAGAACGCCAATGTCCTGGCACGCTACGCCAGCATCTGCCAGCAGGTGAGAGGGCAGCCTGGTGGGGTGCCAGGCTGAGATACTGGAGCTTGGCACCACTATGACTGCACTGGCGGTGGGCACTGTGTCTGCTATCCCAGGCAGCTTCCACCACACTGGCCCCATCCAGAATGCCGTTCCTGAGCCCAGTGGAGTTCCCCCACACCATGTTCTACTCGATGCAGCCCCGGGGCAAGGTCCTAGCCCAGGGCAGCCAGGAGGCCTCTGGCTGGCAGGGCCAGGTGCTCAGTCCCTACATCAGCAGCTCTCACCCATTGCAGGCGACCATACCCCTTTCAAGAGTCTGACTTGTCTTGTGATCCCCCAAGGGTCACTTCACTTGAAAAAGTATTAAATCAGACACAACACCACAGACACGTCACAATATACCAGGGCTGACAGATTGCTGACTCTCGTGGTGGTACCATGGCCTCATTAAACAAATCCATTGGGATATAAATATTGTACTTGCGTTTCAGAGTATAGTTCATGGAGCAGTATGAACAAGTCATGGAAGCATTAGTTTGTACTGTCTTCGCTAGGGGGCTGTGTCTACACTGCACCCTTTTTCCGGAAAAGGGATGCAGATGAGACAAGTCGGAATTGCAAATGAAGCGGGGGATTTAAATATCCCCGCTTCATTTGTATAAACATGGCTGCCGCTTTTTTCCAGCTCGGGGCTTTGCCAGAGAAAAGCGCCAGTCTAGACGGGATCTTTCGGAAAATAAAGCCTCTTCCGAAAGATCCCTTATTCCTCTTAAAATCAGGAATAAGGGACCTTTCGGAAAAGGGGTGCAGTGTAGACACAGCCGGGCTGTTTATGTAGCCTGTTGTAAAACTGGGCAATTCTCTAACTGAGTTGTACTCCTGGAGACCTCGGCGTGCCATCAGGGCTACATGCACCCTGCTTGAGAACCGCTGCCCTGGCACAGTGAAGTGCCCCCATTGCCAGGTGGGTGGTGACTTTGGATGGCACCTTTGACACAGACCCCAGGGCCTCAGTTTCATTGTGTGTTCCATGGCTCTGCTACCCCAGCTGCAGACCTCTTCTCTGAAAAGGGAATGTGTGCGCTGGGGCTGGGGACTGAAAGCTTGAGGGGGTGAACCTGCTCTCCCTGGTTGGGTGAGGAGGGCTGTCTGGCATGTATCCCCCACTCTGCCATGTGGGTTGCTACAGCTAACCTCTCCTTATTTTCCCAATTGCAGAATGGCATTGTGCCCATTGTGGAACCAGAGATCCTGCCTGATGGAGACCATGACCTGAAGCGCTGCCAGTATGTGACTGAGAAGGTGAGTCCTAACCCAGCAGGGCCATGGGGGCAGTGTGCACAAGGATACCAGGGGCTGATATTTCAGTAGAGCTGCCTAAAGAAATGTGCCCACCCCAGCTGCCACTGTGCCCCATTGTCCCCCAGGCAGATTGGCAGGCACTCGGAGGAGCCTGCAGTCTTAACCCCTGATGGGCAGAAGGCGCTCTGCTGGGGTGACACCTTTGCACCACAGGCCCTGCTGGGCACATGGACCCTCCCAGCAGCTTCCTGGGCTCTGAGAAGGGACCCTTTAGTCTCCTGGGGAGATCTCGGGGCTGGCTCTCTGGAGCAGAAAGCAGCCATGGGAGCTCAGCTCTCGTTGCCTTGCTTTCAGGTGCTGGCAGCTGTGTATAAGGCCCTGAGTGACCATCACATCTACCTGGAGGGCACGCTACTGAAACCCAACATGGTGACCCCAGGGCATGCCTGCCCGACCAAATACAGCGCTGAGGAGATTGCCATGGCTACGGTGACAGCGCTGCGCCGCACTGTGCCTCCTGCAGTCCCAGGTAGCCAGGGCATGAAGCAGCTGCTTTTCAGCTCCTACACCCCTGGATGCTGGAGCATAGCTGGGCTGATCAGTCGCTTGGTCCTGCAGCCCTGCCACTGCTGGCAGAGCCACAATCAAGTTGTAACTCCCTCAAGTGAAAAGGGGGGAGAAGGATCGACAGGGGGCTCCTGTTGCTATAGTAAATTGTCCTCTTTAGGTCGTGGCTCGATTGATGGAGGAACCTTTGTGCTCTGGGCATGCCACTGGCACAGCTGTGAGCAGCATCGCTGGATCAGTTTTGATTTGCAGTGTGGGCAGGGTCTGGCAGAGCTGAGCTTGTTCCCAGCTGAGCCAGGCAGAGCCCAGCCCCCACAGCCTGTGGGGTTGCTGTAATTTGCTCTTGCAGTGGGTGGTTGTGTGGAAGGCAGGAGTAGGGGGCTCTGGGTGTCCACACAGCTAACCTCTCCTTATTTTCAGGCATCACCTTTCTTTCTGGGGGGCAGAGTGAGGAGGAAGCTTCCGTTAACCTGAACGCCATCAACAACTGCCCCCTGGCCCGGCCCTGGGCGCTGACCTTCTCCTATGGACGTGCCCTGCAAGCGTCGGCGCTCAGCGCCTGGCGTGGCCAGCAGGAGAATGAGAGCGCTGCCACGGAGGAGTTTGTGAAGCGGGCCGAGGTACTGAGCTGCAGGTTGTGGTGTGCTGTGAAAAGTCCTTTCCCCTGTTCTCTGTCCTGCAAACTCCTGGACAGCAAGGGTCAGAAGGTGCCTTGCCTCGAGCTCCTGATCTCAGGAAGAGTGCACCTGAGGGCATCCTGGTGAAATCTGCTTAGCCACTTTCAGTCCAGTGCTTGCTAGAATTGCCCATTCAAGCTGCTGTGCTAGTCCAGGGGTGGGCTGAGCCCAGTGCAGCATGGTAGGGAGTATGTTGCATGTCTGGAATGGCCATTGTGAGTTTAAAACAAGTCTGGTGTAGGTAACAGTGAAACTGCAAATTGGAGGGGAGAGGGGAAGGCTGCTCTTCCCAAGTAAGCATGGCATATGGCACAACTGGATTCCCAGCCAGGCTCTGGTCCAACCTGGGGGTTGCAGCAGCCAGTGCCATGGCTGGGGGTGCTAACTGCTTTCTCCCTTTCTTAGGTGAACAGTCTGGCTGCTCTTGGCAAGTACGAGGGCAGTGGAGATGACTCGGGTGCTGCTGGGCGGTCCCTCTATGTTGCTAACCATGCCTACTGAGACTCGGGCGGGCTTTCTAGCCACACTGACCAACCAATCTCCCACTCCGCTACGTTCCGTATCAGCCACCAGTTACCCCCAGCTTTCTACTGTAGCTACCACCAGGAGCCAAGTAGCCACCTCCGGTGTGGGGGAGAGAAAGGGAAGAGCGAGCCCCACCTGGACGTACAGCCCCAGTCTTGTGTTTTCTTTTAACTGCTACTGATTTTTGTGCCTGTGAAAGAGGAGGGGGAGGTCCCTGATAGAGGTCTTCCGGTAGGGACTGGCCAGACAGTGCAGGCTGTAGCCTGTCTCACTCTCCCTGTAGCTTTCCAGTTCTCCTTTCCCACGATTGTTGAGGTGGGAGGGAAGCTAGGCTGGCAGGGTGTGGGGAGGGGAGAACTCCTCAGTTTCCATGCCCAGCTCTCTGGCAGAAGGCCCTGTTCACAAGGGGTGTTTGTGGGCAGGAAGTGTACTGTCTTGGTGCTCCGGTGCCCGTTCTCCACCTGCCCTGTGTGGCCTCCGCGCTCTGGCCGTGTGGGACCCCACACTGCATTCGACTGCACTTTGGTGTGAAGCTGTAGCTTTGCCATTCTGAATGTGTGCTCTCCACCCCGTAGTACAGGGCTGCTGCTGCCATCGCTCTGTGGCTGGCAGAGTTGGGTGTGAGCAGCTGCTAGTAGGGGAGCCAGGTCCTGACATGTGTTGTGTTCCCCATATGCACCTGATGTACCAAATAGTGTAACAAATAAAGTCTAGAGACAGTGACAAGTGACTGCTGCTTTCCTGTGGAAGGTAGGAATGGGGACTCTCTCCAGGGAGGTGGTGGCCTACTTAACATGGGTATTCTGAGTTGGGTGAGGGAGACAAAGTAGCTGCTTCCAGCTACACCCTCTGGAGCAACACACCCACATGGATACTGCTTCCAAATCCAGCTCTTCCTCTCAGTAGTCCAGGTCTCTGCTGGCCATTATCACCTCCTCTCCTCTGTTTCAGCTGGACACTGGTGCTGAACTCAGCAGCTGCCAAGTTCCACCTCTGATGGCTATACTTCAGTGGCAGGTGGAGCTACTGAGGGCTAAAGCTGAAATAAGCTACGCAGCTTGAGCTATATCTATTGCATAACTTAAGTTGAAATAGGTAGACAGCGCCAAAACCAAAATAAGCTGTCTGACAGAGGTAGAGCACTCTTCCTCCAACTTCCCTTGCTCCTCGTAAAATGCGGGTTACAGGAATCAGAGTAAGAAGTCCTCAAGCTCCTCATTGTTTTGACATTATGTTGAAATAACTGTTTGGAGTGTAGATGCAGACTTAATTGGGAATAACACTGTTGTGTAGACATACTGTCATGTGGTTGGATTCATTTTAGATCTGAGGAAAACCAGGACACTTGAATAGTGATAGAAATGTAGCCGTGTTAGTCTGGCATAGCTGAAACAAAAAACAGGACTATGTAGCACTTTAAAGACTAACAAGATGGTTTATTAGGTGATGAGCTTTCCTGGGCCAGACCCACTTCCTCAGATCAAATAGTGGAAGAAAATTGTCACAACCACATATACCAAAGGATACAATTAAAAAAACGAACACATATGAAAAGGACAAATCACATTTCAGAACAGAAGGGGAATGAGGGGGGGAGGTAAACTGGAACTTTCCCTTGCAACAAACCCCGGTGCCAGCTTTGTCCACATATTTACTCTGCTGACACCATTATTGGACCTAACCAATTCAGTTATAAGATCGAGAACACATATTCCTGCTCATCCAGAAATATAATTTATGCCATCATGTGCCGACAGTGTCCGTCTGCAATGTACATTGGACAAACGTCTCAGACACTTCGCTAAAGAATCAATGCCCACAAAACAGATTTTAGACAGGATCACAAAGAAAAGTTTCTTGCCATTTCAACTAGAAAGGACATTGTCTCAACAACGTGATTACCTGTATCCTGCTTCAAAGACCTTTTAAGACTACACTTGAAAGAGAATCCTCTGAACTGTCATTCATGCTTAAATTCGACACTTTACACCTAAGCTTAAACAGAGACATTAATCATCTTACCCATTACAAAGATAGCTTCCCCAATTATCACCTCAAATATCATTAACTCAAACATTTACCTTCCCCCCCATCCTCCTTCTGTTCTGAAATTTGATTTGTCCTTTTCATGTGTGTTCTTTTTTTTTTTTTTTTTTTTTTAATTGTATCCTTTGGTATATATGGTTGTGACCATTTTCTTCCACTATTTGATCTGAGGAAGTGGGTCTGGCCCACGAAAGCGCATCACCTAATAAACCATCTTGTTACTCTTTAAAGTGCTACATAGTCCTGTTTTTTGTTTCAGGACACTTGAGAAAGACTTACCACTTGCTTATTTATTGCAAGCTTTAAACAGTTAATATAGTTAAGTTTTATAAGCCTTAAACAATTATACAATTTAAACCTTATATTCTAAAGCAATTAATTGAAAATCCATGTAATACCATAAAGCCTAGTTTACTTACACTTCACCATCTGTTACCTACAGTACTAGGCAGGACGTTGTGGTCCCTTTGATTCTCACCTGTCAGGCTGCCATGCACGGCTGTCACCCGTGTAAAGGGTCTATTTACAACGAGCAGGAGCTGTGAGCCAATTCTGCTCATTCCCTCCCATCAATTCTTCTAGCTAAGCTCATTTTATAGTAAAGTGAGACTTGGTCATTCTAATAATGTTTACCAATTAATTACGTATTATGTAAGATGCCTGATGCCCCTATTTGAGGTACATCCTGCTACTCAGGATGTTTCAAAAACTATGTGCATAATTAAACAGTTTTATGGCTGCATTTTTATTTTATTTTATTTTGCTTATCAGAAACAGAAGTACCAGTACAAGGTTGACTGTCGTGTTCTTGACGGGGTCTCACTGTACCATACTTAATCTGCATTAATAGCATGTTATAGACTAACAAAACATGTAGATGGTATCATGATACCATCTACATGTTTTGTTCGTCTATAAAGTGCTACCCGAGCATTTGTGGGTTTTTTTCCTGTAACAGAGTAACTCGGCTACCCCCTGAAGCTTCTTATCTGCATTGTTATGCAAAACATTCCTGCCTCTCAAAGCTTCCCCCATATGCCATGCCTACATGCACCAGACTTGAGACAGGCCTGGGTTTTGCTTGTTAAGAGACCCACACTGCAGTCAAGGCAGGTGCCCCCACATGTACCTTGAGAGAGGAGCTATACCACTTTCTGGCCATGTGCTCAATTCAGTAGAGTGCCTCCATCTCTGTACAAGGATGGTGGCTGTCCTCCAACAGCGGAGAGCTTAGCCTACTCCAGTACTGTAGTAAAACAAGATGCATGCTCTGTTCTCTCTGCTGCACCTAAGATTTCTCTTGAACTGTTCTGGTGAGGTGTGCTCCATCCCTATTACTGCTACCTGGACTACCTGTCGCATGGACTCCAGGCGCAGCCCTCCATGGCACTGTAAAATATACATTACAAGTAGTAGAGCTAGGGGTCTGGTCTAGGGATGTGAGCAGGTAACAGTTAACTGGTACCTAGGAGCAGCTCACTGCCCACTGCTAGCCGCAGGGGGAAGCTGCTTTAGCCTTGCTGGGCACCTGCACGGGGCTGGGAGCCG